AAGAGAGCGAGGGAATGGCAGACCAGCCACTAAGTACTTGGCCCAGATGATGTCATAGGATATAGGTACTGACATAGGACGTTGTCAGGACCCTAAAGGTAGGCCAGTTGATTGCCTGCACAACGTAACAGTCTTTTGCCATGAAAAAGAAGTTTAGGGCATGAATGAAATACAAATATTAGGAGCTGGGCAGTGGTAGCCCAGGCCTTTAATCCCAGCACTGCGGGAGGCAAAGGCAGGCAAATCTCTTTGAGTTCAAGGCCAGCCAAAGCCACGCAGAGAAACCTTGTTTTGAAAAACAAATAAGCAAAACAAAACAAAACAAAACAAAAAAAGGGTTGGGGGAGATACATTAGGCTCTGGAGGTAAGCTCAGTGGAAGAGAATTGATTCAACATAGGAAAAGGCATGGGTCCAATTCTCAGCACTGAGGAAAGTAACACAAAAAGTGTATTTCTTACCTAGAAAAATTCCCAGCATGGGTGTAGGTTTGATTCCTAGCGCTGCAAAAAAAAAAAAAAAAAAAAAAAAAAGAAACATTATGACAGAATTGATTCCATAATTGTTTACATGTGGTTATTTTAAATATTCTCTTAATACTCTGTAAGGGACTGAAGAAGACTCTCATTCTTGTTCAGCCAGCAGGTTCTTAGGAGAAGCCAAGGCCTGTGAGGACTAGAAAATAATGATCAGCTCATCGTCTCTACCTTCCCTAGCCCCACCCCCTTCTTCCCTGTTGAGGTCAGACAGGTCTTGATTCTTTCCTTTGGATTATTTCCTACATATCCAAGTACATATGGAAATCAGTAAGATTGCTTTGAGTATCCAACTCAAATTAAATTGACAGGTCAAGTAAGTCGATTAAAGAAGGGTGTTGAATCTTAACATGAGGTCTCTCTCTCTCTCTCTCTCTCTCTCTCTCTCTCTCTCTCTCTCAATGACAGGTTCTCACCTGTAGCCTCGGCTGGTATGGAAATCATTGTGTAGACCAGGCTGGCCTGAGCTCAAGGTTTCAGTTGCTTACTGAATGCTGGGGTTAAAGGTGTGCACCACAGGCAGCCCTAGCCTGCTTGCTCTTACACTATAGGAACTGGAGTCTAGAAGAGAGGACACAATTACCCAGGCACACAAGTCCAGTTTAACTCAGAATAGAACTTAACATGCATGGCTTTGTAATTGAGCAGGTTGTCTCTCTTGTCTCTGCCATTATCTTTACTGGATGGCTGGGAAGGGGCTATTCTATGCTGTGGGGTTTTGTTTTCTAAGGCCATGGTAAGAAATAGCATACTCATTTTATGTCTGACCTGTCTTCTGCTCTTTTCCTTAAAGATATTAAGGATTCAGATGTTAACTGTAGTAATGTCTGCGTCCACCGGGTGGCAGAACTGCTGTACTTAAAGTCTTTTTGTTCTATGTGAGTCTTAGGGATAACGCTTTAATAACGGTAAAAGGAAATGCCATGATATAGATTGCCGTACGTTATTGTGCGGGCAGTTGAGGACAGTAGGACCTTGTGTACGCTAGGCACAGTGCTCTATTGAACTGCCTCTCCACTCTTGTTACTAAAGTCTTTAAAAATGTTTGGCATGCTCAGTGGGCTAGGAGAGAAATGACTGTCAGTTTCCTTTGCAGTACCTAGTGCCACTACAGAATCTTGACATTTTTAAAGCTCCATTAAAACCATAAGCTTTGTCCTCAACCTACCTTATGGTGTCAGCCTAGCACTCTCTATGGACTCTTCAGGATGAGGTTTTTCTGAACCTCTGCGGTGTCTGGGGGAGGGAAGGGTGAGCTGAGGTCACCACAGCAGTTTCCATCTTCATGTTTCTCCTCTGCAGTGGAACTGGAAGCACTACTGTACTAAGGACTTTGTCTCACTGGATTTAAAAGAGTCGGGGAGGTGGTAGCGCTCACCTCGAATCCCAGCACTCAGAAGGCAGAGACAGGTGGATCTCTGAGTTGAGGCCAGCCCGGTCTATAGAGTGAGTTCCAGGACAGTCAGGGCTACACAGAGAAACCCTGTCTCAAACAAACAAACAAACAAACAAAAAACAGAAAACCCCCCAAAACATTAATATAGAAACAAAGCACAGCACAGGCTTTGGGGGGGGGGGTGTTTTGTTTTGTTTTGTTACTGGCCTTGAGCCTCTATCAGATTCCTTCAATCATGGCTGTACTTTCTTACTCTGTTAAAGCTATAGCAAAATAGTGAGTACCCCAGCCCCCAAAAAGCCGTGGATTAATAGGGAGTATTTGATAAGCTTAATGGTGCGTATGTGTGACCATGAGAATTAGTGTCAGATGGTTTTCTGTGTGTGTTTTCATAGTACTTGTCAAATAACCAGCAGCTGCATTGTGCTGCAGTGCTGTTTGAGAGCACAGTGAGTTTGCCCACTGTCGGCTACCGATTCTGACCTACAGGGTGATGGCCGTCTGGCAGCCAAGGGCAGCCTCTTCTCTCTCAAGAGTGAGCCGTGTGTGTGAGGAAGGCTGGTCATGCATATGCCCAGAGCAGGGGATTATTGTGCTGCTGTTGTCTTAAGCTCTGTGATCTTTGCTAAGAGCCCTGACCTGGTTGCCCCAATGAGGCTCTGCACAGGGCTCCTCATGCCCACAGAGATGAGCTCTCAGCAATCCGTGGACAGAATCGAGACTGCTGTGACCAGGACACAGAAGAATCGAGACGTTGTCTGAGCCCCATCTTTTGGAGTGTCAGAATTTGCGTCGTTCTTGTTCCATTTCATCTGCTTTAAGCACCTGTTACCTTCTGTTTTTATGAGAGCACAGTTGACTTCTTAGATGAAAAGGTGATTTTCACACAGGTTAACCATAAGGGAGGTTTTGAATAATCCATGTTCCCTGTTTCAGCTGCTGACCTGTGCAAAATAGGGTGAGTGGTAGGTGTCCACCATTCTTATAGCACAGAGAGAAGTGAGGACTGGGGAGTGCAGGACAGCACAGAGAAATGAGGCCTGTCAGCAGTAGTTTGTATAGTTGACTCTGTCTAGAGAGCATTTCAATAAAAGAAAGACGAGTGGATGCCCACCAGCTGGTGTTCCCGGTTAGGTGACCTGGCTTTGCTGAGGAGAGTTGGCACTTGGTGCTAAAAGCAAAATCACATTTGGGATCTCTGGGCTTAAGACTAGTGGGATCTACACAGCCTGGCTTACATAGAGAGACACTGTCACAAGAACAAAAAACAAACAAAAATTCATAACTATGTAAATCTTTGATTGTTGGTTTGTTTTGTTTTGTTTTGTTTTGTTTTGTTTTGTTTTTCGAGACAGGGTTTCTCTGTGTAGCCTTGGCTGTCTGGGACTTGCATTATAGACCAGGCTGGCCTGGAACTCACAGATCTGCCTGCCTCTGCCTCCCAGATGCTGGGATTACAGGTGTGTGCCACTGCACCTGGCTAAATTGGGGGGGGAGGGGTGGAGAGAGAGAGTTTTGTTGGGTGTATGGAGGATACAGTGTGCTGGGGGGGTAGAGAGAGAGAGGTTTGTTATGTGTATGGAGGACACAGCGTGCTGAACTTAAAGTTGAGCAGAGTGTTGATGGAGGGGGCTCAGGGAGCCAGAAAGCCCCCGTCCACCGGCAAAGTGGAGCCAACGGTCAGCAGGGAGAGCCCGGCATCCACGCTCCCACCTTCGAAGTCTTGCCAAGTGGGATCTGTGTAAGCCTTTCACTCGGCAGAGCAGAGGAGGTTGGCTTTACAGAGAGAGCAAGGCTTGAATAAGGCAGAAACAGAGCAGAAAGTAGACTGGTTTCCTGGGAAGAGCACAGAGAGGCAGAAGAGGAAAGTAACTGACTCACCATCCTCGGATACTTCAGTTGGTGCCATGAAAGCAGAGGCCCTTGTGTCTCGTGATAGTTAGCACCGGCCTGCCTGGGAAAATTGGCTGCTCTCCCACCGCCCTGCTTTGCACAACTCCAATTTAGTTTTAATTATTTTGATTTTGTGTATATATGTTCACACTCTTGCGTGTGTGGTGGTCAGAGGACAGCTTGCCTCAGTTGATTCTTTCCTTCTACCTGTGGATCCTAGGGATTAAACCATTTGATAGCAACAGGTGCTGCTATCTGTGAGCCACTTTGCTAGACCCTATTTTAATAGTCAAAGCCCAGTCATTTGGGCCCCAGTCTTGGAGGTAAATCCAAAACAATAGTAACCAAAATTTTAATGAAATGCTAAAAACGAGGAAGTTGCTAAAGAAGCACTAAAATAGCACATTCTGGGGCTAGACACTGCTATAGAGCTGCTGCCAGAAGTTCAGCCTTGACCTTATTGCAAACAAGCACTAACAATAGAGGTGGAGCCTGTTTCGGGTCCTGACCCATCATGAACACAGCTGACCTTTTGGGACAGATGCCGCTGGTATTGACTTAGCAAACTGTCTCAAGTCTGTTGGATTGTGAGAGTAATCAACTGCAGAACAGGTTCTTACGTGAGTGTCAAGGCTCCACATGTTAATTTACCATCACAGCCTTTAGAGAAGCTGGTAGGTATCTAAAGCAGCTGTGATAAAATATTTACATGTATGTGTGTGCTGTGTGTGTCATGTATATGGAGATTACAGCAGAGACTAGAAAAGGAGGCCAAATTCCGCCTGTCCCCAAGTTGGAGTTACGGGCTGTCGTTCACTATTTGGGTGCTGAGAATTAAACTCAGGTCCTCTGCAAGAGAGTCTGGTACTCTTAACTGCTGAGCTGCCTCTCCAGCCTGTCGTCTTTCCTTTTACACTAAATAAGTTTCTAAATCCTAGAAGAAACAAGTTGAAGCAAGATTTTAAAAAATGTTCATAGTCTTACCATTTGGAGATAGATTAGTATTTGTGTGTATTTATTTGGGTGTTTCTGGGATTTAGATCCACGCTAGGGTCATATTCTGTGATGGCGTTCTTTGTTCCACTCGCGCATGGCAAGTTTAGAAAGGAACTTGTCAGCTCTGGTGGGTGTAGTCTTGCTGTCTCCAGGCTGCTCACTGGTCTCTCTGTTTTTCAGTGGATGAGTACATCGCTATCGCCAAAGAGAAGCACGGGTACAACATGGAGCAGGTAACAGCATGTTTCCTGGTGTTGAAAGCAGGCTTTGCCCCTGGTCCACTCAGTGCTTTCTTCTGTGTGCTAAGTGTCAGATGTATTGAATGTGGGCATAGTAGTAGGTGCTAGCTCATTTGGTTTTCTTCACTGGGATATGTGGTTGGTATCTCATCCTGGTTGTATAATGTTTTATGATACCTTATGGTATCTGACTATAAAATGATTTATGGCCGTATGCCCAGGCTTGTTGCTTACAATGCCCAACAGAAACTGGCTAACTTGAAGGAGTTGGCTAGAGTTGACTGAACTTTCCCTAAAGGTTATCTAAACTTCCCACAGCTGAACTTCCAGCTTTCCTCTCGTCTGCACTCACTTTTGTGTGATGGGTAAGTGGGAGTGACCTGAAATGATTTACCTTCTAATCGTTCTCAGCCATAATGTTTTTGTCTTAGATGTTTGGCTGTTCTTTCCTCCCTGACATAGAGTTAGGAGCATTTTTAGCCCATCTCCAGACCAGGGGCCCATAAGACACCTTAAGGTGAACACACTTGAATCTGAAATAGGAGGGGGAGTCTCACACAAATTACTCCTAGAGCCAGTTTCTCTGTGAGCTCACACAGTACGTAATAAGTTACCAGTGTAGTGCACATGACAGCAGAGAATGGATTGCCTGTGTTATAACTACTGGGCCCATCTGGTCTGTAAAGAATTGAAGCTTTGGGTTCAGTGTGGCGGTGCACACCTTTAATCCCAGTACTTACGAAGCAGAGGCAGGGCGGCCTGGTCTACAGAGTTCCAGGCCAGCCAGTGCCACACAGAGAAACCCTGGCTCAAAAACAAAAACAGAAACTTGAAGTTTGGTTGTTTTCCATCCAGAGCAAGGTAGTCGCTGTCTCTTTCTTATCCGTAGTGCTGCTGAGGCAGCTGCGCATGTATCCTGCAGCGGCTTGCATGTAGCTTGTAGGAATTAGAGTGACAAAAACATACAATCTGTGAACACTTGACCTCTGACATATGACTGACTGCTAGTCTAATCACAAAGGGGAGGCAAAGAGGCCAGTGGCCACTGTTGCTGGACCTCCATTACTGAGTTCCCTTCCTAGCTGAAGGGGCTTCCAGGAAGTAAAGGGCCAATGCCCTCACCCTCTTGCTCTCTCTTCATTTTTCTATTCTGAGAGGCAGACAAATGAAAGATTAAGACAATCAAATGGAGCGATTATGTGAGGAGAAAATGAGAAACTTGCTGTATATGTCCAGGGAAAGAAATAGGCTCAAAAAAGACGTAAAAAGTCAGACCTTGAGCTAATCCTCGGTACGAGACAGATCACAGTGACAAAGAGTGCAGCAAGAGGGGAAAGCACCACAGGGGACAACATCTTGGTTTGTCGCTAATGCGTGATTAAGTCCAGATGTTCAGTTTTCAACAGAGCACTCACAAAGCTCATGTACCTCAGAGCGGAAAGTGTGGCCACTGAAGGAGAGACCTTTGCGAGTTCTCCTGGGGAAAACGCATCAATTAGTCTGTTCACCCCGTTAAACTGTTCATCCTAATAATAGAACAAAGACGTAGTTCCAGCCAAGCCTAGTGTTGTGAGCCAGTGAGCTTGCTGGGGTTACTTGCAGAAGCAAGAGCTTGCTAGTTTTATTTCTGTTGTGATTGTGATAAAATACCCTGACAAAAACCAACTTGGTAAGGAAAGAATTTATTTTAGCTCAAAATGCCAGGTAACAGTTTATCATGTATAGCAAAGGCACGAACTTAGAACAGCTATACTCCCATCATACCTGCAGTAAGGACCAGACAGAAATGAACGTGTGCATGCTTATTTGCTTGCTTTCTTGTTTATGCTCAGCTGGTTTTCTCCACTCAGGACCCCTGCTTAGGGAACTGGCACTGTCCACAGTGGGCTTGGTCTTCTCACACCAAGTAACTAAATTAAGGCAATCCCCCACAGGCACAGGCTAACCCAGTGTTGAAAAATCACTCATTGAGATTTCTCATCTCAGGTGAGTATAGACTGTGTCAAGCTGACAGTAAAAACTAACTATCACAACAGGTGACTCAAAGCAGCATCACTGAAAAGCCCACCACAGCATGAATGACAGCTCACAAAAGCTGCATCTCTGGAGTTTTCTGTGTGATTTTCAGGCAGCTTGACAGTTCACAGTCTTCTCTTTCTACTGTGTGTATCACAGTAAGGGGTTTTACTTGGGGAGGGGGTTGCTAGTGAATCTTGAAGCTTTTAGGAACTTCCTGGAACTCCTGAGGTTTATTTACTTCTTGAGTCTCAAGGAGGCTTCCTCTAGAATAGAATTTTTCAATTTTGAGAAATTGATATACAAGAAAATTAAACCAACCGATACCGTTTCTCAAAAAATACCTGATCTCACATCTGTTACTTACTTAATTACACACACACACACACACACACACACACACACAGCTGGTATAGGGACCAATCCCAGAACCTTAAACATGCTAGGCAAGTGCTCCATCACTGAACTGCATCTCCACTATTTACCCCAACCTTAATAATGCTCAAAAAGGTCATTTTGAGTAGGCAGATGAATGTATTTGAAGCTAGGACACTTTGTTTTATTATTTGTGGTACTGGAGGTGGGGGACCAGGACGTCCTGTATGCCAAAGAAGTATTCTACTATTGAATTATACTTCTAGCACAGGAAGGCTTAAACTTGCTGAGTGTGAAGGGGTTGGGGAGTAATAAACAAGAGAGACCAGAACTCAGGGTCCTGTGGAACATCCCCAAGGAAGCTTTAGGAGAAGATGGAAAGAAGCAGTGGGGAGAGATTTTGAAATGGAAAATAAAAAAAGGTCAGACCCTCTTGAAATCGATAATTTATCTAAAAATAATTCAACATACTTCAACATGAGCTAACCCACACCAAGATTCAGTATGAAATATTCATGCTGGGCGCAGTGGTACATGCCTATAATCCCAGCGCTCCCCTCAAGGGAGGCAAAGGCGGGTGACTCTCTGTGAGGTCAAGGCCAGCCTGGTCTACAAAGCATGTCCAGGACAGCCAAGGCTACACAGAGAAACCCTGTCTCAGGGGGTTGGGGTTGGAGTTGGGAAGAAATACGCAGAAGCCAAAGATGCAAGAAAAAAGCCATTCATGGTTTACAAGGGATCGCCAGTGAAGTTATCAGAGTTGTTATCAGGAATTTTGAATTCCTGAGGATGGTGATATGGTATATTTGAAATGGTAAGAGAAAAATAAGCAAAAACTTTCAAACAAAAATTGTCTGTTTAGGTTGGAGAGAGATTCAGCTCACTGGTAGATCCCATGTTCACTTCCCAGTACAGAGAAGGAAAGAGAGAAAAGGATTCCTATACCTGACAGAACTGTCCTTCAAAAATGGGAGTTGGGGGGGGGTTGCTGGTGAGCTGGGAAGACTTGGCAGAAGGATTGAGTTTGAAGCAAATATGGACTTTATAGGGAGGACTGTATCTTGAAGGACAAAAATGCTAGTTTTTCACTTAGTTGAGGGACTCTCAAAGAAGTCAGAATCCTGGGCAGTGGCTTGGTTGCTGGGCCTGGAACAAAGGAGCTGGAAGGAAGAGCTCTGTGTTGAGCAGGCCCGGTGCTTGTTTCACAGGATGTGAGTCTTGAGCATGGATACACAGACATCATCATGTGCTCAGTGCCACTGCGCTGTCTGCTAAGAAGTGCTTGGAGTGACAGACTGATGTCACATCTGTCTTATCACAGAAGTTGGAACGCCTGTAAATTTTCAGTGTGTGGAGTCTGTGTGCTGATCTCCTCCCACTTTAAAATTTGTTTGTTCTAAAATTTCACCACATTTTTTTCTAGGCTCTTGGGATGCTCTTTTGGCATAAACATAATATTGAAAAATCACTGGCCGATTTGCCCAACTTTACCCCATTTCCAGATGAGTGGACTGTAGAAGATAAAGTCTTATTTGAGCAAGCTTTTAGTTTTCATGGGAAAACTTTTCATAGAATCCAGCAAATGGTAAGCAGCATTTTTTGTTTGTTGTTTTGCTTTATTTCGTTTTGTTCTGTTTTTGCTTTTTATGTCTTCAGTATTTGTGAGACAGGGTTATCGTCAACTTCAAATATCTCACTTATTTGTTGTGTGTGTGTGTGTGTGTGTGTGTGTGTGTGTGTGTGTGTGTGTGTTGCCTGCATGTATGTCAGTGTACCACCTGTGCACCTGGTGCCTACAGAGACCAGAAGAGAGTATCAGATCCCTGGAACAGGAATTAGAAACAGTTGGAGCTGACATGTGGGTGCTGGAAATGAAACCCGGCACCTTTTGGAAGAGCAACCAGTTCTCAACCACTGATCCACTTCTCCAGCCCCAAGTATTTCCTTTTGAATAAAGTTTCCTTTAGAAAAAACAGCTTACTAAACTACTTTTTAAAGATCTCCTCTGTTGCTCAGTGGTTCTAGAACAGAGTGAGGCCCTTCCTACTTTGAGTTTCTAAGCTGCACTCCCACACCACCCCGGCCCTTCCCAGCTGATGTCAGCAGAAAGATCTCTGATGGTTGTTTTTGAAGGGATATCACGGTCCTTGTCTGTAGGTTTGGGGTTTTTTTTTTCTTTTTCTTTTTCTTTTTCTTTTTCTTTTTCTTTTTCTTTTCTTTTCTCTTCTCTCCTCTCCTCTCCTTTCCTTTTCCTTTCCTTTCCTTTCCCTTTCCCTTTCCCTTTCCCTTTCCCTTTCCTTTTTTCTTCCTTGAGACATGGTTTCTCTTTGTAGCCCTGGCTCTCCTGGACTTGCTTTGTACACCTTAAACTCACAGAGATCCACCTGCCTTTGCCTCCCAAGTGCTGGGATTAACATGCCCAGCTTTTTTTTTTTTTTTTTTTAATTAAAGATTTATTTATTCATTATGTACACAATGTTCTGCCTGCATGCACAACTGCATGCCAGAAGAGGGCAGCAGATCTCATTATAGATGGTTATGAGCCACCATGTGGTTGCTGGGAGTGGAACTCAGGACCTCTGGAAGAGCAGCCAGTGTTCTTAACCTCTGAGCCATATAACCAGCCCCCAGCAATATTTTTTACTCTCTAAAAAGCTATTGATAAAAATTCAGGTTAAAGGTTTACTGGTACTTGTATTAAATGTTAAAATGGTAAAAATTAAACCTAGGAGCTGGAGAGATAGCTCCGTGTTTCACTCTGGTCATGAGAACCAAAGTTCAGATCATAGGAACCACATAACAAGCCAGGCATTTTGTACATGTTTGTAACTGCAGTTCCAGTATGAGTGTGGCATGGTGACAGATTTGCTGCGGCGTGCTATCTCAGGCTAGCAAAGAGAACAAAAAGTGGCTGGGCGTGGTAGGATGCACCTTTAATCCCAGCGTTTGGAAGCAGAGGCAGGCAGATGCACCTCTGAGTTCAAGGCCAAGACTACACAAACTTCAAAAACAAAAAAATGTGATATTTTGAAAAATTAAAAAAAAAAAAAAAAAAAAAGCTGTTTTTGTAGTCTTGACTCTGTTATGGATTTTTTTCATCTTTGATGGTAAATAAATACATAAAAATATTTGATATTGAAAGGGTAAAATCTAAAACAGCTTTGGTTCAGAGTGGCTGCTTTAAGTGCATGGACATTCATTGAGTTGTATGATCCTTGAGTCTGGCTAATTTTAGTGTGTGATGTTTTTAGTTCCTACTTTTTGTCTTTTTTAAATTTTTTTACCTTTGTTTTATATGCATTGGTTTTGCCTGAATGTATGTCTAACTGAAAGTTAGACAGATCTTAGAGTTACAGACAGTTCTGAGCTGCCATATGGGTACTGGGATTTAAACCCGGGTCCTCTGGAATTAAGTGCCCTTACCTCCTGAGCCATCTCTCCAGCCCCTACTTTTTTATTATAAAGTTTAAGATAACATTTTTTAAAAGAAAATGAATTTTGTGAGGTTTTCCTTTCCATATATTTTAAAATATGGCAAATGATCCTTATGAAATATGTCTTCAACCTTCTTGACCATTGAACACTAGCTTTCTGCATTTAGCTTCCGGATAAATCCATAGCAAGTCTGGTGAAGTTTTACTACTCCTGGAAGAAAACAAGAACTAAAACCAGCGTGATGGATCGTCATGCTCGGAAACAAAAGCGGGAGCGGGAGGAGAGGTAAGCACATGCTAGGGTGTCACTTGACCACTGAGGGGCCAGGGCTGCTCCTGAGAGGCCATGGATGCGAGAGTCCCTTGGTAAAACCTCTATGCTTCTGCAGCCAGTGAACTTTAACAGATTCTCTTCTTCCCCTTAAAGGTGACACCTTTTATGAAAAGGGATTTGGTTGTTTCATGGGTTAGAACTTATTGAGTATGATAACCAAAAAATCATTGGCATATGTTTATGCTTAGCTCGCTTTAAAAAGAAAAAAAAATGAGATTTTTGTATTAGTTACTTACCTTGTTGCTGTAACAAAAACAGCTCAAGGAAGAAGAGGTCATCATGGGGACAGGAGCTTGAGGCAGCTGTCCCCTGACATCTGCAGTCAGGTGAGCAGAGGCTGGTGCTCACTGCACCTTCTCCGTGTTACTCCTCCGTGAGCACCGTCCATGGACGGTGCTGGCCCAGCCCTCAGCTGACCCGCTCTCCAGCATCCCTCATAAGTGTGCCTAGAAACCTGTCTCGTGGGTGATTCCAGACCCTGCCAAGCTGACAATGAGTACTGAGCACACTTCTTTACCTTGACCCTCCTATGTCTTGTGTGAGGAACAGAGAGCCTGTTCAGAATCTCTTAGGAGGGCATTGGTTTGTTGTTGCTTTTAGTTTTGGTCTCTCCCTCCCCTTCTCCCTCTCTTCTTCTCTCCCCATCACTGAGCCTGTCTCCTAGCCTGGATATTCATTTTAAGGATAGCTCATTACACTTTAGTAAGGAAGGATGTATCTTACCTCTTGCTTTCTCAATTCGCATACAGTGTAGATCAGTGGAAATGGTTCTGCCCTTGCACTTGGTGAGGTCTAGGATCAGTTGTGAAGGTTCTGCTTAATACTCCTGGGTAGGTTTGTTCAGAATGAGGAGATGCTCAGCACTCAGAAGGCAGCGCACATGCCTGCAGGCTTTTTTGTTAGACTACTGGGAGTAGATGTGTCCTTCAGAAACTTAGGCTTTCCAGGTTTTCTGTGATACATTCCAAAGGCTCTCTGTGTATCTCTGGCTGGCCTGGAACTCACGGACATTTGTCTACCTACCTCTGCTTCTCTAGTGCTGGGATTAAAGTCGTTTTCCATCTTCTCTGGTTCAGTAACTCTTTTGATCAAAGCTTTTATTTCCTTTATATCTTAGGCCTAGTTTGATTATACATTGAGTTTGTTGCTTCAGGCAGATGCTAAATAACAATCAAGATTGACTGTGAATGGCATAGAGAGCCAGCTGATCCCTGGGGCTTCCTCTTTGCATTCCTGCATTGGTCCTGAGAACTGCTGTGCATGTGCCCTGGTCCATGTGCTCTTTCATCTGTTAGTACATGGACCAGGGATCTACAATCACAAGATCATAATAGTAGCACCTGAGAGGTCATTGACCTCCCATATGACTTTGTACAGAATTAATGGCCAGGACTCTGGCAAAATTCCTTTATCTCCAGAGCAATGCTTCTCAGACTCTTGTCTCCAAAAATATTTACATTAGCATTCATTACAGCAAAATTATAGTTATGAGGTAGCAATGGAAATCATATTTTGGTTGGGGTCACCACAGCATGAGGAACTGTAATAAAGGGTCACAGCATTAGGAGGGTTGAGGACTACTGGACTAAAAGAACTACAAAGTTGGAATTCTATCTGAATTATAAAAATGTTTGTCCTAGCAATGTGTGTTTTAGAATAAATTTGTTTAAGTTTTTATACTTATGTGGGATAGAATTAATACAGAATAACATCTCAGTCACCTGCTCTTATCTTCCAGTGAGGATGAACTGGAAGAAACAAATGGAGGTAACCCCGTTGACATTGAGATTGATCCAAACAAGGAAAGCAAAAAGGAGGTATTTTTCTTGTATATTCTTAGGCAGTAAATGCTGTTACTCGTTCAGCCATAACTCCTGCCTCTTGTACAGTAGTATATTGAGTGCTAAGTCCAAAGGTTCAGATGGGACGTTGTGAACAGCACCAACTTTGCTTTACAGTATTTAGAATGGTTTGTCTGTAACAGAGGAGCCCATAAGGAAAGGAGCCCTTAAGGAAAAGCCCACCTCCTCTTGTTTTCTGTATGAGAATGATGGTCAGGAGGCAGGGGGTCAGTGGTTCTGACTGTGAAGTGAAAACAGTGAGTGACCCAGGCAGCTGCTAGCATTTGGGCAGGAGCCATGACCACTCAGAAACAGCAGAGGCATCTTAGCTCTGTCCTGTAACGGTAGGAATGGTTACTTAAGCTTGGAAAAACAGAAGGCTAGTTGTAAAATTAGAGCAGTGTTCCATTCTCTTTATAGTAAATAGGCAATGGAATTCAGAACAGAAAAGGGGTTAAAGTTTCCAGCAGCAGCACTCATGGTCACTGTGAAATTTTGGGAGCTTTTGAGACAGCTCTCTCTAAAATATATGCGCCCATATGTGTACATACATGATTCAGACTTTTTATTTTTAAAATGTAGTAAAGTGATGTTGTAATTTGTACAGTTTTTGAAATTTCTTTTAAATATACTTACATACATAAACATGTATTACTTCATCACACAAGCCTTTCAGAATTGACTTAACTGATCTTAAACAGCTCTCTAGCCTAAGTTATCACCATCATGAACAGTTAATAGTCATGTATTTAAGTATTTGCACACATTAAAATAATTCCTAGAAGTTGAATTGGTGCCTCGGTGTCCCGTGTGCTTACTTAAGCTTCTTAAGCCACCTCGCCCGTATGTGGTGGGGCGTCCACTTAGAGTCCTCATTTCTGATGCCATTCTTGCCAGCATCACAGACGGCCTAAGGAACAAGATCCTTGTCTTTTTTTTTTTTTTTTTTTTTTTTTTGGAATTCTTATTTATGTGGTAGAAGTTAATATTGCACAGAGTAGTTTGTTGCCTGCTAATATTTTAATGGTATTTACTACCACATATTTAAATATTAAGCAAAAGGGTCATCTAATAGATGTTCAGTTTTATCCTTGACTGCTATCCCTGTAAAAATGTTAACCTTTTTTTTCTTGTCTCTTATAAACCACGTAGCTGAGAATGAATTCTTGATCCTCCTGCCTCTGCTTCCCAAATGCTGGAATTAAAATATATCACCACCATGCTCATCTTAAAGTCTTATGTTTAAATGATTACCTATAAGGCATAATCCTTTTATTGCTAAGCTTTTATATTTTTTTATTTGTGAAGGTTTTGATATTAACTTTAAAAAAATTAGCCCAATGACTTATTTTTTAAATGACAACACATTTGTAGAGCAAATTATATAAGCCACTTCAAAAAGCTAAATGTTGTCCAAAAAGAAATGATGTATAAAATACCAGATTTCATACTGAAGTTGTTTTTTTTTTCTTTAATAATTTATTTTTATTTCATGTGCATTGGTGTTTTGCATACATGTATGTTTGTGGGAGGGTGTCAGAGCCCTTGGAACTGGAGTTACAGACAGTGTGAGCTGCCATGTGGGTGTCCTCTGGAGGAGCAGCCAGTGCTCTTAACTGCTGAGCCAGCTCTCCAGCCCCGAAGTTCGTATTTCTTAATGGAAAGGTTTTCAAAGCCCCCTCCTTTCTCCATCCTCCCACACCCCCAGAGGTGATCTGCTCACTTGACAACTCATGATCACAAAGCTCATAAGAAAATGCAGGCTATTGTTTTTTCCCTGTGTTACTTAATAGCAGTGTCTGAAAGACATAGAATAGACTGTTTCTGTTGAAGAAAGGGGTGTTCATAGCCAAGGCTCTTAATCTTTAAGCTTCCTCATAGTAGGTGGTGCTTAGATTAGCATGGTGGTTGTTTTAGATTGTTTGAGTACTACTACTCATTTGACATTTTTGTTTTTTGATTTCATTTACCAAATATGTATATCATGCAGGTGCCCCCTACTGAGACAGTTCCTCAGGTCAAAAAAGAAAAGCACAGCACACAAGCTAAAAACAGAGCAAAAAGGAAACCTCCAAAAGGCATGTTTCTTTCTCAAGAAGACGTGGAGGCTGTGTCTGCCAATGCTACTGCTGCAACCACGGTGCTGAGACAGCTGGACATGGAGCTGGTCTCCATCAAAAGACAGGTACTGCCAGCCCAGTGTGCACCAGGACATCATACCTCACTGTTTGCCTAGCTTTTGCAGGCTTACAAATGCCAAAGGAGCTGCTTATTTCTCTTTTTAAAATATCTGCTTTATTGCTCTCCTTGTGGAGTTCCTGTCCTCTCCAGATCTTACTGTTTCCCACTTCTTTCATAAGATTCCCTGCACTCTGCCCAAAGGTTGCCCATAAGTCTCAGCATCTGCTTTGATAGTCTGCAGGGCAGAGCCTTTCAGAGGTCCTCTGTGGCAGGCTCCTAACTTGTTTCCTGTTCTCTCCTTCTTCTGATGTCCATCCAGCCTCTTTGCCTTTCGGGATGGGGATTGAGCATTTTAGCCAGAGTCTTGATTAGTTTCTTTAGTAGGTTTATCCTATATTATATGTCTATAAGAGTGAGTATATACTGTGTGTGTCTTTCTGCTTCTGGGATACCTCACTAAGAGCAACAGAACCAAAAAATCTGAGTACAGGGGTCTTTCCTGAGACTCATACTCCAACCAAGTACCATGCATGGAGATAACCTAGAACCCCTGCACAGATGTAGCCCGTGGCAGTTCAGTGTCCAAATGGGTTTCATAGTAATGTGAACAGGGACTGTCTCTGATATGAACTCAGCTGCCTGCTCTTTGATCACCTCACCCTGATGGGGGGAGCAGCCTTACCAGGCCACAGAAGATGACATTGCAGCCATGCATGGAGAAGGGGAAGGGAAGGTGGGATTGGGAGGGGAGGAGGGTGGGATTTATGAGGGAGTACAAAGTAAATAAAGTGTAATTAATAAAAACTAATTAAAAACTATAAAAATTATTTAAAAAATAAAAATAAAATGAAAACAACAACAACAAAAAAAAAAGATGAAAAATCTGCTTATTAATATTGGGAGTGGTGAATATGCTGTGATGTGTGGAGGTCGGAAGACAGGTTTGTGGAGTTGATTCTTTGTTTCTGACTTCTCTTGGAGTCTAAGGATTGAACTCTTGTCCCCAACAGCGGTTCATTTCTAAGGAATTGGGTAAAAGAAACATTTCTCTGTATAGCCCTGGCTGTCCTAGCCTGGCCTCATAGACCAGGCTGGCCTCAAACCCACAGAGATCTCACTGCCTCTGCCTCCCAAGTGCTGAGGTTAAAAAGTGTGTGCCGCCTCGGCCTGGCTTAGTCCACTCTTTTATGTTACCATAAGATAATGTTTATTTTTATGGTTTTCTCTCCTGTGCTCGTGTTTATAAAGCTGTTAGTTTTGATCTGCTCTTACTCATTGCTTTATAAATACCCACTAGCAGTACATTCTGCTATGGTGGAGATTTGGGTTGTTTCCATTTGGGGCTGTTACACAGACTCTTACCGTGAACGTTAGGGATTTGTGCATCATGCGTGCATCTTATTAGAGCACATAGTTATTGAGTCCCCAAGAGTAGAGCCATCATGTTCAGGATTTTCAGAGTGGTCTTATCAGTTTAGATATATTTTGGTTGTACCATACCAGCATTTCCAACCTACAGTACACTTTAGATTACTGTAAGCTTCCTAGCCTCTACACAGTGGCGATCACCTTCCCCTATAGCTGTGACAACAGAAATATCCCCAGGCATTTCGGAGTCTCCTCAGGGTGACAGTTGTTCCCATTGATAATGGTTGTTCTGCATTGTTGCTAACGCTTGTCTTGAAATTGTGATGTTTCTCTAGTGCATTGTGATGAGGCCTCCTTGGGCTTTGTTGGCATTGCTTACCCTTGGGCTGTCAGCCGCCCCCAGCCCCAGGTTGTCTGCCCAGTCTTTGTCCTTGGCTTCCTATTGGACTGTTCGTTTTTGTTTTTGTTTTGGGGGTGTGTGTGTTTATCTGACACAGCATCACACCACATAGCTTAGGCTGGCCTCAAACTTACCAGTGCTTCTGCGTCTACCTCTGTACTTCCTTATAGAATCTTCTTTTTCCTACCCGTCTTGTAGATAATCTACCACTCATGGCCTTCTGCTTGCTCCCCTTGACAGTATTTTCTGAAATTTATTAAAGTAGCACAGTTTCTCAATCATTCCTCTCAGGTTGGTAGTTTTTCTTTGCTTTTTTGTTTATTTCTTTTTTTTCCCCCAGACAGGGTTTCTCTGTGTAGCCTTGGCTGTCCTACTCTCACTGTGTAAACCAGGCTGTCCTCAAACTCACAGAGAGCCACCTGCCTCTGCTTCCTTGAGTGCTGGGATTACAGGTAGGTTTTGAGTACTGGGAAGGAGCTTTTAGGGCTTGGAGAGATGGCTCAGTGGTTAAGAGTAGTCGCTCTGGTTAGAGGACTTGAGTTTGATACCCGGTACCCACATAGAAGCTGCCAACCATCTGTAAGTCCAATTCCAGGGGATCTGGTGAAGCCAGGGGGTCCTGACCTACACAGGCACCAGGCACGCACATGGTGCACAGACATACATGCAGGAAAACACCCACACACAGAAAGTAAATAAATCTTCTAAAAATAACTTTTCCCAGGTGATAAATCTGCATTGGCTATCATCTTAACATCATTGTTTCAGCCTTTGTATTTTGATTTTCAATCTACTTAAAAGTGTTTTCTGGGTGTGGTGTTATACATGTAGGTGTTTAAGTATGGGCATCTATTTTACCAACTACTTTTTACTGAAAAGGCTGCCGTTTCTTCCCTGCCACGCACTGAGACTTTTGTATAAAAATGGGCAGGTCTGATGTGTCCTCTGTTCTCTTGCCTGTGCTTTGCTGATGCATAGTGCCCTGGTGCGGTGTGCTTTCTAAGTTTATATGTGTAGCAGTGAAGCCCCGAGGTCTCATTATCCTTAGCCCTTTGTAGTTCTTTAAGAATTTGTATCACTTTTCAATTTTCAGGAAAAAAAAAAAAAGGAAACAATTCTACTAGAATTTTGAGATTTTGTTACAGCTATCAAATTAATATATTTTTTTATTTGGTTGGTTTGATTTTTTTGAGTTTCTTCTCTATGTATCCCTGGGTATTCTGGAACTCAATCTGCATACCAGGCTGTCTGTCTGCTTGTTAAAGGCGTGTTCCACCAAATTAGTGCCTTCAGTGGGTTTTCTGATGAATGGAGATCGTATGCCCCTCCCCTGTGGCGATCTTTAATTATTTGTGTGGTGTCATTTTTGATGTGCAAGGCGTGTACATCCTTTATTAGAATTATTCTAAGATATTTGTTACATTTTATGGGTGCTCTTATAATAACGGTTTTTTTAAAGGAGGGCCATCAGCTGTATCTGAGACCTCACACACACCAGTAGTCATATATCCAGTTAATGCATACTGTTTTTATGGTCAGCCTAGCACTCTAGAATGGGCCTTTCATTAACTTCCTCTTCCCCTTCCCTTCTCCTCTCTTGCCCTTTCTTCTTCCAGAGCTTGATTAGTTAAGACTTAGTAATGGGAATCCAGCTGTCAAAGATGGTCAGACCTTCTGGTGGTCTCCAAAAGGGTAGATTGATGGCTCTGTCTTTCTTTTGGTTCAAGGAGATGGGGGTGGTACACAGGCATCCTCGCAGAGTCAGAGGATAGCTCTCCAGCTGCTGCCAGCACGTCTCTGCTCTGCTCTTAGGGGAGTCACTTAATCTTCCTAGAGACCTCTTTTCAGATGAGGCGATTAGTCCTTGAGGTCTGATCCTTGCAGATCTGCCGCGTGGCTGCGCCAGGGCACTGTCTGTGCTGCTGCTGGTGGAGGAGCTAAGTGAGGATGCAATGCTGAGGGAAGAGGAGGCTCCTCTGCCACTAACTGTGGAATGAGAAACAGTCTGGTTTTTCCCGGCAGGGTCAAGGACAGGAGTGTTTTAATTTGAAATAATTACTCCGGTTGGCAGTTTTGAAGAGAAAGGACTTAGAGCCTAACGTGGTAGTGAGGACACAGGTGCTTAGATGAACTTCAAGAGTCAAGTCCATCGCCAGTCAGAGAGACAGTAACTTTGAGAACCCTAAAGAAAACATCACCTCAAAGTAACAAAAACCTGATTAGCAGTTGAAGAAGTCTCACTGTCAGGCTGTCAGCAGCTGCTGTTTGAGTTGTGTTCAGGGGCGCTCAGGCATCCAGGGAGCTTTATTTGATCTTCTCTGTGACTCTCAGGGTTTTGCTGTGCCTCCTGCTGACAGCTGCAGAAGCCATTTTGTAATCTTGGGATCTGTATTCAGGGCTATAAGAAAAGGAGATGGAGGCAGAGCCACCCTGCCTAGCCCTGTGAGTAGGGGAGCAAAGGCCTTCCACCAGAAGCCCCAGCCTGCTGCTTGCCAGCACGTGTGCTCTGCCCCTCCTGGCTCTCAGGAACCAGCACAGCGTTGAAGACCATGGGGCTGGGCTGGAAGTGTCCACTTCCTCAGTGGGTAAGCTTGTGGCAGGAGTCTCCTGAGTGACAGGAGAGAGGAGTTCCTGTGAACAAGATGAAGTAAAAAAATTATAATAATGATACCTTTACCTGGGAGCCCAGGGAGGGCCCTAGGCCAGCCACATGGGCTACATTGCTTGTTTTTTTGTTTTTCCTTTAAATGCCACACACAGCCATATCCTGATTCTTACTCAATTTTCTTTCCAGTTGACAAAATGTTGACCACTAAACTGTTTATTCTGATTTTAAATCCTGGATTCCACCTCTGCACCCGTCTCTGCTGTTTTTTTCTGAAGACAAGGTCTGCTATCTCAGGCTAGCCTCCAGTTCTAACCCTTAGTCCCAAACTTGTGAGTCTGAGGCAGGACCAGCCTGGGCTACAGAAAGAGAACCTATCTCAGAAACAACCCAGCCCTAAAGCACTTGACAAAATTAGAATTTTAGAAGATTGTGTAGGAGCCAGAAGTAGTCATACACGCCTTTACTCCTACTCCCAGCACTCAGAAGGGGGAGGTGGGCCGAGCTCTGCGAGGCTGAGGCAACCCTCGCCTACATAGCAAGTTCCAGGCCTGCCAAGGCTACATAGTGAGACCCTGTCTTGAGAAAACAGGGCAAATAGGGAAGAAAAAAAAAAGGTTATGTAGGTATAAAAGGCTGTTTTAGAAGCTGGAAGGGGGCCAGTGGGATGCTCAGGGGAAGCCCAGCTACGTTGAGTCTCCCAGAGCCCACATGGCAGGAGAGCCAGCTGCACAGAGCTGTGCGGTGACCTCAGTAAGCCTCTTAACGGTGAAATAGTGCCGCCCGCACACGTGCTGGAGGAGGGTCTCGGGCTTGCTCTCCAGGACAAGGGAAGAGAGGGGTGACTGAGCAGTGCTTTTCCTTCCTTACTTGAAAGCCTTGCTTTTATTTATGTTCCTTTGCTATTAGACCTCTTCTCAGCCAGGTGATGGTGGCGCACCTTTTAATCCCAGCACTGGGGAGGCAGAGGCAAGTGGATCTCTGTGAGTTCGAGGCCAGCCTGGTCTACGGCTGAGTTCAAGGACAGCCAGGGCTACAGAGAAACAAAGCAAAGCAAAGCACATTCTTTTTTCTTAAGGGAGTGTCTGCCACTCCTAGGTGTCTGTGATGTCTGCCCCTCAGTCCACCCACCCATTCTTTCCTTGACTTTCTTACAGTTTCTGTGGTTTTTCAAAGAGTGAAGAGTGCTACAAGTCAGCGTTCCGTCCACCACACACTGGACAGAGGCACAACTGCCGTCTGTTTTATTTGGGCGTCCATGTGTGAAACTAATGTGGCTGGCTTCTCTCTCTCTCTCTCTCTCTCTCTCTCTCTCTCTCTCGTGATTGGGCACAAATACAAAACTAAGTATGCTGAGTCAAGCAAAAATCGAGGAAAAAAAGATGCTAAACTTGGTTGGAGTTAAGTTTGGAGAAATTTTACTGTTGAGGTTTTCCGTTTTTCCCCATCAAAGATGTGTTTTCTAGTCTTCTTCTTTTTAAAATGAAACTCTTAAAAAAGAAAAAAATGAAACTTTTTTTTCTCTTAGATTCAGAACATTAAGCAGACGAACAGTGCTCTTAAAGAAAAGCTTGATGGTGGAATAGAGCCTTACCGACTTCCAGAGGTAGGATTCTGTTTACTTCAGGATGAGGGCCAAGTTTATTTGCGTGAAGTTTCTCTGTGGTGCCTATCTCCAGTGTGTCTTGTTTTGCAAAGATATATAGACATAATTTTAAGAAGCAAGTTTATATCAAATCCTGACACAAAAAAAAAGTTCATTAAGTTGCATAAAGATGTGTGTGATGAGTTGACGATCCATTTGGGTATCTTAGGTTATTCAGAAGTGCAACGCACGCTGGACTACAGAAGAGCAGCTTCTGGCCGTACAAGGTATGAGGGAGCTCTGCTTAGCTCACGGGGCCGTGGTGGTGCAAGGGGAGTGCCATGTCCCACTCTGCTGTCGCTCCACTCGCGTGGAGGCTGGTCTCATGGCCGTCACTCCAGGCGTGTGTTCGTGCATGTGTGTGTTGGTACTGAGGTTTGAATCTAGGGTCATGCGAGGCAGATGCTATATGGTTGTGAAACATGCTCAGTCTGTGATTTTAGTTATTTAAGACAATCTCACCTTTTGTTTAGGCTGGCCTTGAGCTCAACCCTCCTGCCTCAAGCTCCCAAGGGCTGGAATTATAGTCCTGTGCAGCCCCTTCCCCGCTTTTTTAACCCTGAAAGCCACAATTGGCTGAGGGTGTGAGTGCATTATACTCGAGAGTTGCCAGTGACAAAAGACAGACTAAATCCTAGTGCTTTAAGACCAGGAATGTTTCTCGAGTGAGGATTCTGAAAAAGCAAAGCAGAATGTCCACAGGCACTTGATGGGAACCTCAGCGACTTGGATGCTGTCACATGCTCTAAGGAAGATTTCTAGTAGACAGGGTCTGTAAGATACCCCTAAAGGTGACTGCCGTGTTTCCACTGCTGTAGCGTGCCGAGATAGTGTCTGTGGTCAGAGCCTTTATGGATAGAGGGGTAAGCTGCATTTCTGTTGTTTGGTTCTGGTTCTGGTTCTGGTTTTGGTTTTGGTGGGTTCCAGATTACCAGCAAGTGCTTTACCCACTCAGCCATCTCCCTAACCTGAACTGAGCTTTTTAAAATGGTAAGAGCACTTTGTGCTCTTCGAGACGAACCAGGTTTAATTCCCAGGAACTACATGAAACTCCAGAAGATTTGACTCTTTCTTCTGGCCTCTGCAGACACAAGGGACACAAATGGTACACATACATACATACAGGAAGAACTTTCACATACATAAAATAAAAATAAATAAATAAAAGTTTTTAAATGTTTTTTTCTCTTACATTTTTTTTTTCTTCTGTCCTTAGCCATCAGGAAATATGGGCGAGATTTTCAGGCAATCTCAGATGTGATTGGGAACAAGTCAGTTGTTCAGGTGAAAAACTTTTTTGTAAATTATCGACGCCGCTTCAACATAGATGAAGTTTTACAAGAATGGGAAGCAGAACATGGGAGAGACGAGACCAATGGGCCCAGTAACCAGAGACCTGTCAAGTCCCCGGAAAGCTCCACCAAGATCCCTGAGGAAGAAGATGAGGTAAGTCTGGAATGGCTCATCTCCTCACTGCCGGCGGAGCTCAGGTCTCTGGAGCTGCTGAAATCCCTTCCCGTTGCCGTTACTATTACTCAGTGTCACTTACCTGTAATACAGTAGTGTGCACGCTGACTCAGGTGGCATCACTGTCCACAGACCACACGACTCTATCCTGGCATTCTTCTGCACTTGTAAAAATCATCAGGAGCTGCTGAGGAGTGTCTGGCTCAGGCAGGCCTCAAGTGTTAGGCCATGTTAGGGCTACTGACCTTCTGGGTGAGTCTGCATGCCTTTAGCAGCTCGTTGGGGTGTCCAGCAGCCGCCCTCCAGCCTCTGATGCTGTCCAGAGGCGGCTAGCTTAGGCTGGTCGAGACAGTTCTAGATCCTGGGGCTATTGGGACTTCTGTGATAGCATCGTGATTCCATCAGTGCAGTCGGGAAGCTGCCTCAGCCAGAGACACATCTGTCCCCTTGCACATGTGGTGTTAGGACTGCTTACGTGCTGCTTGTACCCACCTCAGGAGAGGGCACCACTCTGTGCGTGCTTGTGCCTCCTCTGCCACAGAAGCGTGGGAGGCGAAGGGAGGGAATCTGGTCTTGTTCACTGGTCTGAAGTTCACTCTCTCTGTTGGTTGGTCCGTGTTGTTTGTGTGCAGGCCTCAAGATGGCTCCCTCTAAGGGAAGCATTGCACCTCAGCGCTCCGAGAATTAGGCTCTTGAGTCCTTTGGACAAGAAGGTCTGGGTAGTTGTGTACAGAGTGTACACATTAGCAGTGTGAGCAGTGCCCTCAGGTTACCCGGTTCAGGACCAAGGACATGACCTCTAAGCAAGCTCTACCCTTGGCAGTCAGTTTGCCTCATGTTGACTGCTCTGTTAGAAAAGTTAGAGGCAGGGAGAAAAGGAGTTAGAATTTGCAAGAATGGAAGCTTTCTAGCATGTTTCCTAATACCGTTCCCAAGGCTCTTGGAAACAAGATCAGTAGGACTGTGGCTTGGCAGAGCAAGTGTTGATAGAGGTGGTTTGAGAAATCTGAGGGTGAAGTCAAGGCCCATTGCCATGCTGGACAGGCCAGTTCTTTTGCAGGCAGTTTTGCTTCAGTTTCTTCTCTCAGTGTGTTCATGCTCTTCTGAAACCGGCTCATGCCATCCAGCGACGTCTTAGAATTTGTGCTGTTGGACCATCCCTGTAACTTCTCTTTAAAAATAAGACAGGACAAAACAAACAGAGGGTATTACCTGCATGTTGTTTCCAGTCATTTGGCCATTTAAACTATCTCCCTTCTTCCTACTGGTCTGTCCTTCCACTTACAAGCTTTGGGAATCAAGCTCAGGTCATCAAGGCTGGTGGCCTGAACTTCATTGTCCCCTGAGTCCTCTTGCCAGCCCCCCTTCTGTGCTTGTCACATCAACAGCCCTCTCTCCCAGCCCTTCTGTTGCTGCTCTGAGGTTAGTTTGTAGAAGGAAATTGGCTTGTGATGATTCAAGTTCACCAAGAGCCTGGGGACTGAGCTGTTAGAATGCTGGTGATTGTCTGGCCAGCGCTCAGAGCATGGAGACTTGCTGACTTCACCCGCTTGTTTATCCTGTGTCCAGCAGCTAGGGATCTCTGTCCTTGCACAGGATGGAGAACATCAGGATTTTTACAAGTCCCACTAAAACAAAGACCTGTCAGTTTTAAAGACTTTTTTCCTCCTAAAGAAGAGAGAGCAGCCCAGGAGGTCTGAGATCCACTATGGAGGGTGATGGAGCAATGAGTTAGAGATTGCCACCTAACGTCAGAGTGACCGAGAGTTGTGGCCTTCCTCTAGAGAGGAGCTGCTTTCGCTAGCTGTTCTTTAGAGTGTCACTTCACCTGCAGGAACCACGCTCTCAGATTCTGGATTTGTAGCCCAGTTGCTTCCCCAGTAGCAAGACAAAAGAGGCAAATGAAAAACTGCTTTCATCTGTTAAGGAAGATTGTTCCACAGTCCAGGGTCCCAGCAGGAGCCACCGGCTGTTGGGGAGCCGGGTGTCAGGGCCGCCCTCTGGCCAGTGCATGTAATTCTGACTACAGGCCTACCTGAGCAGCTCTGAGGACAGGACCCGTTGCTCATGTGTCTGACTTGGCCGAGAAAGCATCATTATCACACCTTCAGCAAACAGGGAAACTGAAGCTTAGAAAGAGAAACTGGTCCAAGATGGATTAGGGCTTCCTCCCTGGAACGCGAGTGCTCGTCCTGCACGTGCTTGCTGTGTGGTCTGTGAGGACACCAGAGGCAGTGTGTGCTGACTGCTACTCTGATTCCTTCTTTTCTCCCTTCCTTCAGGCTGCTTCTGTCCTCGACGTAAGATACGCATCTGCCTCCTGAAACCTGCTGGTAGCTTGAACACTTGGTGTGGACGACGTGTTACCCAGATATCAGGTATTCCAAGACATCGCTAGCCATCTGCATCACATCTCTGTGGACAAGCAGCTATTACCAAAAAAGGCATACACTTCCAGTCCTGTGCTACATCTGCCTTAATTCTTTGCTCGTTCCTCCATGTTGGCACGACTTCCCAGAGAGCTCCGTTGCATCTCATTCTGCCTAAGGGCTGGGGGACCCACGGCCTGCACACCTCCCTCGAGTCTGGGACCTACCCTCCAATTGGCTCCCCTGAGCCCCAACAATGGCAGCTCTCCCAGTCAACAGCTTCAGAACAGGTAGTCTTGAAAGGCCCAGCTCTGTTCCTGCATGGCCTGCAGTTTCTACTTTGTGCATAGTGTAATTCTCAGAAGGCCCTATAGGCCTTCTAGAAAATTTCTCCCCTTCTTTTCTGGGGCAACCACCTAAGTAATACCATGCTTCTTTGGAAATCACAATCCATTGGCAGACCACATCGTAACCTTTATCATACCAAGCTTCCTGATACAGCTCCTGTCTTTCAAAACAGAGGGTAGAGTTACGGTTTATGTATAGGTCAGGTGGCTCCTCTCCCCTCCCTCTCTCCCCTAACTCTTTCCCTTTTCTCCCTTTCCAAGTGGTAAAAGCTCATTTGCAGCAACTGTCCTTGGACATTGTAGCTTAATGGGAACGTGGACCTCAACGCTTTCTGCCTTCAACCTTCAGCATTGTAATCCCAGGATGTGGGTGCACCCCGTCTCTTCTTGACTCCCCAACTACCACTATCATCACCCAACTCTGAGAGATTTGGTTCATATCACTGTACCTGGTGCTTGTACATTTGGAATTGGTGCCTTCTCCTTTTGGCAACCATGTTATCGATCCCTTTTCTGTTCAAGTGTCTTATTTAAAGTTTATTGCTTGCCAAAGATGACATCACTGAGGTGTAGCAGATGGAGAGAGCGCCTGCAGATTTGACTAAGCATAGCCTGTAAACGTCAGGTCAGCTCAGTACAAGATAATAGGAAGCTGGGGGTGGTTTTCTAGAAGCTGCACACCATCCTAAACAGTGTGCCTGGCCATTGTTTGTCACTCCATGTGTCCCTTTGTGTCATTTGTGTACTGGTGTGTTCACACACACCGTCCCCTGTCTTCTAGCAGCAGATAGGACAGAAAAGTGATGGATGTGTTGCTTAGTGAGACCAGGATGGAAAGAAAACTATCAAAAGAGTGGTATGTAATGCCATTTGCTTGGACTGGGAACAAACAAAGATTTCTAAGATGTTCTGAGACTTCCAGAATCACTTTTGCTCTCTTAGCAGACTGTGGGCCTGCAGGGCCTTAAGAAGCAGACGGTCAGGCGGCATTCTAGCGTACATGGCCAGCTGAGGCTGCACTAACCGTGTGGAAATATCTTTTGTTGTTTGCAGCATTTGGATATTTTTTTTTTTTTCTGCTTTCAATACCAAAAAGAAAAAGAAAAAGAAAAAAAAAGTTGATGCTTTAAGGTATGAACAGAGTTCTTAAGAATTTAAAATATGCAATTAAAATTCGATGTTTTTGACTCCTAAGCACCTTTCCCCTGCCCCCCCGTTTTAAATTTGGCGATTTTCTCCTTAGAAAGAGGTTCAGCCGTAGAAATCTAGGTGGGGGTGGGGTATACACTGTTTTTGAGAAGTCTGGAGGAGGGTCACTCCAAAGGCAGGTACAGAAGAACTTCTTCATCCTGTCCAATAGTAGGCGCCCACTGTTGGAGAAGAGCCTGCCGACAGGTGCGGGCGTGGCGCAGCCCCAAGTCCCAGCCCAGGGAGGCAACAGAGTAACACTAGTCACAGGGCAGCTTTTGTGTTTCCATCACAGCCCTGCTGAAAGGGGGAAGAAAACATAGGGCAGGGTCCGCCTACGCTCTGCATAGGCCTCCCGGGGACACTAGAGCACTTGATAAGCCCTGCTCACCTAGTTTTCTGCATGTCCTCTGCCAGTGGCTCTGTGTCTGTCTCTGTGCCTAGGCTACTTTCCATAAGATAGATCTGTTCCCTCTCCACAGTGATTAGACTTATTCATCATCTTGGATGGTGTGGCAAGCAGAGTGGCTGTGCCAGGCCCCAGGCTCATTCTGTCCTGTCCCTTCCTGGTTCCAAGCACTGAGTGGCCTCCAGCCATGAAGAGTCAGCTGTCGGTATGAGTATGACCAGTGTAGCTGATTTTGCCTTTTTCTTAAGGGAGAGAGGCATGCCATTTTCATTTGACGGAAGGGGGAAAGTGGTCTTTGCCTGGCTGCTGTTGGAATAGTTTTCATGTTTTAAACGTTTTTCATGACACAGTCTGCAGTGATGTAAATCCAAGAAATCACTTAGCTTTCAAAGCCGAGGGCTCTGGTCTTGAGCTGTGACTGTTCAACATGTCAAAAATTTAGGGGCATCAGCGGGGTAGGTTTGGGACGTGACGCCTGAGTCTGATGGAATGTCACTTAAGCTTTGTGTTCTTAAAAATTATCAATGTGAATGTCATAATTATATATTTTTGTGGGAAAATCTTCTAAATATAAGTTATTGTGCAAAATATAGTATCATGGTCACAAATAATAGTCTAACTTTTAGTTTAGAGATCCCTAAAGATATAAACTGTATTGCGTATGCATTAAAAGTTTGTTTTATTTAATTTTATGTAAACGTGTAAAGTGTTTAGGTAATTCTTTTCCCTTATCCACTTAAACACCCTGTTACTTGAATATTGTGTTGGCTGGTCAGCAGCAGTGATCAGCTCTGCAGGAGAGCTCTGACGGGGTCCCCAGGCCTCAGTTGTGCTGATCAGCTCAGTGTCACACAGTTCGGTGCGGTGTCGGCAGGAGCAGAGGTTCGTGTAGCACACGACTGCCTCTTTATTTGTTTGTCAAGACAGCTCCCTAAAGGTGGTTCTGGTGGTTTTTGTATGACCCACCCAATGATGGCCACAAACCTTAATCAAAAGACAAAAGGCTAAGAACTTACTGCGGAGGACTAATTAAGCAGTTGCTTTCTGTCTATGTAGTTTCCTCAGTACCACACACCGCCCTAAGTGAGCTCATTGTCACTTTAAATTTCAACTACACCCTGCTTCTATCTCTAAATATCAGATGGACTATTGGTACAATTGCACACCAAAAATAAGCCACACAGTGCATTACACTAACTGGGTCCCTGCTCTCACTCAAGCAAAGGAAAGACAGAACAGAGCTGTCTTCCTCTCTCGTCTGCCCTGTGTGTACACCTAGTGACCCAGGACCCCTGTAGACGTTGCCTCAGACTGACTAGCGGCCGTTAGGCCGCCCGAGTCTAACGATGGTGTGCAGCGCTCCTCCCGCCACTCCCGGGTCTCTGCAGCTTCTCCTCACTGTAGCAAAGCACAATTGCAGGAGCGTCACAATTACAGTTCACAAGGAAGGTCAGTAGAGTCTATGCATGTTGTAAAATAATGACTGTTTACAGCCACCTTCTCGAAGACGAAAATTTATACTGGAGTGGATAGCATTCCATTACGTAGACTTAAGACTTTGCTGAGTGCTTTTCAGATTGCTTAAAATTTTTTCAAGATTTTAAAAGATGTATAAGGTTAAGTTTGCAAATATAAGGGAAATGCTGTATATCTTTTGAAGTGATGAAATCCATGTTAAAATTTTAAAGAAACTATGTTGTAATAACGCTGTTGTAAGTAATATTTCCATGTCTTTCTTTGCTTGTTTTCTAGTTCAGCACAGTCATTGTGGTGAATGTCCATAGCATTATAACTGCTTAGCCATTCATTGAATTACAACATTTGTTAGTGGAGATTGGGAAATTTATTTGTGAAATTCTGCAGAATTCATTTTTCTATTTCCAATATTTGCCGAAGTTAAATAATTTTCAAGCCATTGATGTAATAAAATATGAAACAAAAACAAATTTCTGTGTCCTTATGTCCACCTTCCTACAGAATGGGGTGTTTTTCTCCCCTTAGGAGCAGCTTTGGGTTTCCAATTGTGTTATCGCCCTGGCTTTACCACAAACAGCTGGGAGTCACTCTTGCTTTTAGCTTTTTGCTCTACCAGAATGGTTTGATAATCTTTTATGTGATTACCTTATAGCTGGCATCAAACTGCAATGTCTCCTTAATAAAGTTTGTGGTGTTGAGGTCTTACGTATACAGGTTGGGTGGGAGGAATCTTCCTCTAGCAGTGTCTCTGTGGTCAGCTTGACCAGGCTTTGGCCTGGTCCTAGAGGCTGGGCCCTGCATAGCCCCGGCCTGTGGCAGTGAAGAGCAGACCACTGCTTTGGTTGCCCCTGATCAGCAGAGGGTAACCTGCGCTTGCCTCAGCACCCAAGCAGTGTGGGAAATATTAGCGGCCTCTGTGGCCTTCCCTTTTCTAGCCGAGTGGAAGGTTTTCCCGGATACTGCGCCAGTGCCCGTTCTCTGCATTAACAAATGCCAGGAAAATCACATTATGTAGGAAGGCTCATTGGCCCACAGTTGTAAAGGTTTTCACCCATGACCAGTTGCCTTCAGGTTTTTTGATAGTGTCTCACTGTGTAGCCTGTTGGCCCTCCTGTTCTGACCAGTGCAAGGAGCAGGCAGCGCATGATGGAAAGAACCTGTGGCAGAGCAAAGCCGTCCCTTCATGTCCAGGACAGCCAAGAAAGAGCAACAGGAAAGAACCAACCAAAGTCCAGCAGTGCCATAATTCCCAGGAAGCCCCGGGTCCGCAGTGACCTGAAGACTTGTTAGGCCCCACCTTTCAAAGGTTCCCTCACTTCCCACCCGTTACAGGTTTCACCTAAGCCTATATGTTTGTTTAAACATATATAGTTAAAACATATATAGCCTATATAGTTTGTCCCAAACTGTTGTATTTTACCAATAAAGACTCAGGAGCCAGATGCTGGGGTGAAAACCTGCTAGCTCAAAGAAGCAGAGAAAGCATCCAGCTGATCTTCCTTCTCAGCTCAGATCTGGATGGAAAAATCCCAAAAGGCTCACTAGCTCAGCTGACAGCCCAGGAGGAAAAGGCCAAAAAAAAAAACAACAACAACAACAAAAAAACAAAAAACCCAAGGCCAAAGGCTTGCTAGATAGATCAAAACCCAAAAAGCCAGGGAGCTGAGGAGATGAAGCCTAAGCTAAAGCCAGAGCCTGAGCTCATAGCTCGCTCTTCTCCACGCTGTCTTAAATACCCCTCAACTCAAAGTCCCTCCTCCCCTTTAATCCCTGTCAGCTGGTTTCTAGCTCCACCTTTTGATCTAAGGTTAACTTTTATCAGAACTGGTATGCAGAGAGCTCTTGAATTAAAGGTGTGTGCTAGGGCTGGGTGAACCACACCATAACCCCCTGTTTACAATAAACAGGAAGTTCTTGGATTAAAGATGTGTAATAGGGCTCAACCACACCAAAGAAACAGGGTTTACAGTTCACAATTTTGGGATTCACAATGGGATCAATATCCTGCAACATTTATGTAACAAATGCGCCTTTGGGTAGCAGCGCATGCCCTGCACAGCAGCAGGTGACTGCTGCGAGAATCTAGGGCCTGAAGCCAGCATTCCCTCGAACAGGCAGTAAGTGCATGGAACCCTCTTGGTGTGATTCTGCCTCAGCTGGGAGTCTTGTAAGAATGAGGGGGCCCAGCAGCCTCAGAACTGATGCCCTACAATAACAAAAGAGAAAGGCTGCAGTCCAGGGAAAGCGAGAGCACACTCTTGAGCAGACAGGAGCACCTCCATGTCCACAGAGTTCCCGAGCTGGTCCTGAGAAGATGTGTTGCAGGGACCCTGAGAGCAGCATCCTGGAGAGTGCTCAGTGTCCGGCGGGGGCTTGTCGGCGCCAGTGAAACAAAACTAAAGGGGGCAAGTGCAGGCATCAGGCGCTGAGGTGTGGCTTTGAAGAGTGTGCTGTGCACGCCATTCCAAGTGGCCCTGCTCCTTGCCTTATCCCCTGACTTCCTACCGAGCTGCCTGCACTCCGATCATGCGGGAATCTCAGCGTCCTCTCTGGGCCTGGGCTGTGTGCCCTTTCTCCTGCCCCACAGTGAGAACACAGCTGTGCATCCTGATCAGGCCTTTCTCTTTGAGTCGCTCTCCTTTCTCACCTGTGAGGTTGGCAGACCTGTCGCTCATGCAGCTGGACACTGACCAGTCCACCTGCAGTCCCTCCACTGCTGCCGCCAGGCGTCGCTTGCTGGAATGGCACCTGGGCCAAACTCACCAGCGCCTCATTCCCAGCATGACTCTCCTCCCACCCCACCATAGTCAGGAACCTTCTTGTTTATTTTATGTATGTGGGTGCTTTGTCTGCACACCAGAAGAGGGCTTCGGATTGCATGGTTATGGACAGCTGTGAGCTGCCATGTGGGTGCTGAGAATTGAACCCAGAACCTCTGTAAGACAGCCAGTGGCCTTAACCACCGAGCCATCTCTAGTCCCAGTTAGGAACCTTTCAACATGATTCATTTGTCACATAGAAAACTGCATGGCCCTTCTTGAATCCAGCCTTATGCCCCAGGACCACCTTGCTTTGCTTTTTCCCCTAATTGCCACAGCTCTTTTCATGATCGTCCATCACCCTCCACTTCCTCCAGACAGCAACGTTCTTAGACTTCAGCCTTCTGAACATTACTCTGACTTACTGAGTTCTGCCACCTATAGCGAGGTTACTTTAACCCAGAATTTAGTTCAAGGCCAGCCTGGGTTGTGTAGCAAGACCCTGTTCCAAAAACACAAACTATAATCTAGGTGGGGTATGGTTCAGTGACGGGTCATTTCTTTGGTGTATACAAGGCCCTGGGTTCCATCCCCAGTACCACCATGCACATGAGCTTGCGTGTATGTGCGCACACACACACACACATGTTAATCTTTCATTTTCTGAATTGCTACTTCACCTCCTGAAATGCCCAGTTCTCCCTACAGGGTGCCCTGTGACCAGCTCCTCACAGCCTCCAGTTGCCAGGCAGCAGACACGTTTGCTGTCCCTCATTTGTAGAAGAGGAAACCAAGACTTGGAAAAGCATGTCTCGCAGCTAACAAGCGCCACCCTTAGGATAAGGTGTGCCCTGCTCCAAGGCAAGCTCTCTTCGGATGCCACTGCACGACCCACGCCCTGTGTCATGAAGCCCTGTGTCATGAAGCGTAGTGAGCCTGCTCACTTCCTTAACCATTTCAAGCCCGTTTCTTCATCTATAAATAGGAAGAGTGACTCCTTGAAAGAATAGTGAGCTTGGCCATGGTCAGACCCAGTTGCATGTGGAGCAGAGGCTTAGCATGGGGCTGACTCACTGATCCTATAAACAACTAGCAGGACCCCTGGGGGGAGCTGAGCTAGCCATCATTCGCTGACCTTTAGATGAAACCTTGGCTTTGATGCTCACTACCACCTCTGAATAAGAGAGGTCCTCAAGAACCTTTTCAGGTAGGTCTTTGAGATTCTCTAGGGCTGTATGCAGTCCATGCACTTTGAGGCCAGAGTCTGGGCTAGCCCTGTGTGCCACCAGACAGCCCTAGCAGGAACCCATGTGGGATTTGGCCTGTGGCTGCCCTGGCTTCAGGGTTCTCTGGTGACATTTCTCCATCAGCCTTTCTAAGTAAGATCACGGGGTTATGGTTCCCCATGGAATCCCCTCCTGTGTGCCTTGTATTTTCCCTTAACTGTTAGCATGTTTTGTTGTTTGCTGTACAGACTACTTAGGAAGAAAAGTAGGCTTTTTTCACTTCGCATTTTGAAAGCTGAAAGTGCATGTAGCACAATGCAGGTTGAGGTGAGGGCCCCTTGGCTCCATCCCATCAAGATGGCTGACAGTGGCAAGAATGTGTATGAGAGAATGAGCTACCATGGGTAAGCAGAGAACCTTGGATGCTGTTCTCACAACAACAAACACAGGATCCATGAGAAGGGCAAGACCACGGACCCAAGGACCTGGGCCAGCCTCCACTTTGAAGGTTCCACCAGCTCCCATACAGGAACCATGGAGACATCAGCGCCTGTCAGCTCTGAACAGGCTCAGAGTTACCTTGGTCAGTGGAGCCTTCACAGGGGTGGCACGGAACTCTACATCCTGAGAAGTTTGAGACAACCTGCTAGAGGCAACTGACATGGCCACCAACCACCAGGCCCATGTGCAAAGCCGCCAGAGGTCATGGGACTCGGAAAAGGCTGAGGAGGCCACACGAGTGACTTGCCAAGGCCAACACAAGGTCTACGCAGGCAAAATCACCCAGGTGAGCACTGGCCCTGCCCGAGCTCAGGTGAGTAGCTTAAGTGGCTGAGACAGGGAAAGGCAACTTCTTGGGTTGAGGTATCAGCAGGTGTTTCTGGAGCCTGCATGGAGACAGTTGAAGCCACAGAACCCCCCAGGTTCCAGTCAGGGAGATGACGAGGTGAGATCCTCCAAGCAGGGCAGAGAGGTGCTTTCCTGTGACCAGATTGGTTGGTGCCTGGGGTGGCCACAAAGGCTTGGCATTGGAGAACAGGCCAGAGGACAACCAGAGGCCCCTTCCCTGCTCAGCCCAGAGAGCCTACGCGCAGGCAGAATCAGGCTCACTTCAAGAGACTGAACCTGACTTGCCTGGGGTCATGATTCGTCCGTGAACCAGCCTGCAGCCAGGTGGGATGAGCTCACTCCAGGCTGGGGCACGGAGCTCGTCCTAGGCCGCGGTCTGGGAATGCAGCTTCCCACTGTAAAAACGAGTGCTCTTTGGGGGAGTCGGGGGAGTGACTGGGCTCAGGTGTGGGAGGGTGCACAAGAGGGCTGGGAAATCTTGCTAAAGACCCAGGGAGCATCCAGAGCAATGGGGTCTTCTCTGAATAGCTCAGTAAGCCCAGTTAAGGTCTTGCTGGCCTAATGGGACAACTGCCGCTTAAAGAGCCAGGGGAAAAAAATGTGTAAGAATCCGAAAGATTGTAACTCTA